TCATTGTTGTTTGGCAGGTCCGGGCTGGGGATTTGAACCCGCCACCTTAGGTGTACGTGGCTGGCCCCTTAGCCGGTTGAGCTATAGGCGCCGAGCCGAAAGAATCTTTTTTCAACATGGAAAACAAATAAATGCTTTTAAAATTGTGAAATGATCACCTACAGGGTTTCCATAAAGTTCGTGTGCCATTTCAAATAGTTTTACATTGTAAGTTGCATACAAACTTTATGGACACCCTGTATACTGAATACGAATAAATCATCCATTTTTATGACATAATTATAAGATATTTCTAAAATAGATGCAAATGTAAATATTTAAACATATCTATAAATATTTATGTCTTATTTCTAGTTTTTTTGATTTGTTTAGAGTTTTTTTCCCCTCTAAAGTAGCAAAAGGCGCAGAGTGTAGTGAAAAAAGACGATCGTGAAAAAGATGGGGGACAGGAGATTTCCCTTTTTAATATTTTTCTGTGATAGCCATCATTTCTTAGTAATTGTTACAATTCTGAGAGACTTATAACTGCTAAAATAACACAAACTGGAAGCTGATATAGGACCAGAGTTATCAGGCTGGATGATCAGTTAGGGCATACATTAAAAACATATTCATTGAATCCCTAGATTATAAAAATATATTTTAATTCAGCAGAAATCTTTGGATCTAGTGGTACTCTTCCGTCTTTTTAAGAAGTCTTTTCTTTTCGAGGAACATTATCATGGTGGTTATTTAGTTTTATATTAATGTAGCAAGTTGTCCCGTGAACTACAGTAAATTCTTCTACAATGGTGAAAATGTTGGATTTTTAATTTTTTTAACACGTGGTACGTCAAAGCATAAAGAGCAAGGTACTGTCTCCTTTGATTTCTGTATAGAAGAAAAATAAAATTGTACTTATATCTTTTAAAATGTTTTTATCTGAAAAGCCTGTCCTGGCCCTGTCCTGCTGGGTTCTGTGGTCTGAGCTGCACTAGTGTGGTTGGCTGAAGGAAAGATAATAGTTTTCTCTTTTCTTGTTTTGGTTTACTCAAGAAATGTAATGTTTTGGTAAATGCTTAGCATATACCCACATGTTTTGAAAGTTCTTGTGAAAAAGATCTAGTCCCATTGTCAGGTTACCTGCTTGTCTCATTTAAGATGAACGGGTTGGGTGATAGGAAATTCTTCTGGAAACTCCAAGGAAGCTTCAATGTCATCATCACCGAGTTCCACGAGTATCTTTTTCCTCTTTTTTTTGTAGCCCTAATGCCTGCATAGCCAGGATTTCCTTTCCTTTGCTCTTTTCTTTTTTGTTCCTTGGTCCTATGTTTTTATCCTCGAGCCAGCTTCTTCTTGTGGGATATTTATTTATGCTTTTATTCTGTTGTACCAACATGAAAACTGAAAAGTTGATACTCCTGAGGCTAGAACATAGGCCGGCAGCAAGATCCTAGTGTTTTGACATTCCAATTAAGCAGGGAGTGGATGCTGTGTGTTTTTAAATTGGAAGACAGTGTCTTAGTTCTGCGGTCCTCAACTCCAGGTACCAGTCCACAGCCAGTGAGGACCCAGCCACTCAGCAAGGGGTGAGCAGTGGGCCAGCAAGCATACCTTCATCACTCATATCACCACCTGAACCCTTGATCTTGCCACTGGTCCATGGAAAAATTGTCTTACATAAAACTGGTCCTTGGTGCCAGAAAGGTGGGGGACCTCTCTAAAAGTTGATCGCACTGAATGGGAGTTTTCACTGAATATCCTACCCTCCAAATTACTAAAGGTCATTTTAAGAATGATGAGAAAGCAGCCCAAGTCAGTAGACAGAATTAGTTAATGGTTTTCTCTGGCCTCGGTATCTTGAAGCACTCGGTAACTTGGTGCCTTTCCTTAGCTCCAGCCACTTGTCCTCTGTCCCGCATCAGTTTCTTGCTCACACTGGTACCTCGGGGACAATACTCGGCATATTTTGACTTGTTCTGTTCATGTTTGTCTATGTCATAACATCTCTTTGATTATGTTCACCTCCCTCCACTGAGCAAGTATTCTTGCTACTTGCCTGAGGCTTTGCAGCCTCTGCGAGAGTCAGATGTTTGCTGAATGATAGTTCGATCTTTTGTAAAATAGTATCTTTGTTGCTTCCTTATTAACACAGTCTGTCCAAGTCCCAGGTAGTACTAGAATAACAATCTAGCTTTGTTCTGCCTTCCAATTCGGCTTCCGCTCCAATGTTCCTCTGTCTTTCCTATTGTGCCTCCGTAACTGGTCTCGCCTTTGAATGCGTCCTTCATTTTAACCACTGAAGCAAAGCAAAATTCTTGCCTTATTATATCTAAGTTTGAGAATTACCGGAATCTGAGCATGACCTAGTTGTTGGGCTTGAATGAGTCATTGTTTCTAATGTCACAAAGGTTATTCAATATCCCTTTCATTTGGTTTTATTAATATTGATGCCTCTTGGCTTTTATTTTTGTGAGCAGTTCTTCTTTGAACTCTCTGGGACTTTGTTTTATATACAAATCAAAACCTTAATCATGGAAGACAAGAAAACCGTGCAAGGTAGAATTCAAAGGCCAAGAAAGGCCTTTGGAGTCTTCAGTTTTAGTGTTGGGTGCTGCTTCTTTAAACCTAGAAAAGATTCTCACGTCTATCTCTGCACAATGGCTTAGGATTTCCTGGAGAAATTAGTTTTTGTTTGCTGGCAGATATTTCATGCAAACTCTGCAGTTATGCCGTCTGCGTCTGTGGAGAGGTGAGGACAGCCGCTCCGCTGAACAGGACATCCTGGTT